CTAGGTTGCTTCCAAATTCTAGCTATTGTAAATAGTGTTGCAATGAACAATGGGATACTTGTGTCTCTTTCAATTTTGGTTTCCTCAAGGTATATGCCTAGGAGTGGGATTGCTGGGTCATATGGTGGTTTTATTCCTAGTTTTTAAAGGAATCTCCATACCATCTTCCATAGTGGCTATATTAATTTACATTCTCACCAACAGTGCAAGAGCATTCCCTTTTCTCTACACCCTCTCCAGCATTTATTGTTTGTAGACTTTTTATGATGGTCATTCTGACTGGTATGAGGTGATATCTCATTGTAGTTTTGATTTGCATTTCTCTAATAATGAGCAATGTTGAGCATCTTTTCATGTGTTTGTTAGCCATCTGCATGTTCTCTTTGGAGAAATGTCTGTTTAGATCTTTTCCCCACTTTTTGATTGGGTTATTTGTTTTTCTAGCATTGAGTTGTATGAGCTGCTTGTATATTTTGAAAACTAATCCTTTGTTAGTTGTTTCATTTGCCATTATTTTCTCCAATTCTGAGGCTTGTCTTTTCACCTTGCTTATAGTCTCCTTTGCTGTGCAAAAGCTTTTAAGTTTAATCAGGTCCCATTTGTTTACTTTTATTTTTATTTCCTTTACTCTAGGAGGTGGGTCATAAAGGATCTTACTTTGATTTATGTCATCAAGTGTTCTGCCTGTGTTTTCCTCTAAGAGTTTTATAGTTTCTGGTCTTACACTTAGGTCTTCAATCCATTTTGAGTTTTCCTTTGTGTATGGTGTTAGGAGGTGTTCTAATTTCATTCTTTTACATGTAGCTGTCCAGTTTTCCCAGCACCATTTATTGAAGACACTGTCATTGCTCCATTGTATATTCTTGCCTCCTTTATCAAAAATAAGGTGCCCTTAGGTGCATGGGTTTATTTCTAGGCTTTCTATCTTGCTCCATTGGTCTATATTTCTGTTTTTGTGCCAGTACCATACTGTCTTGATGACTGTAGCTTTGTAGTATAGTCTGAAGTCAGGAAGGTTGATTCCTCCAGCTCCATTCNATCGCCTTGCTTCCGTGGCTGCCTGGCTTTCCTCCACAGGCATTTCCCACCATGATCTCCTTCCTCACATCCCCTCAATCTGTCTCTCCGCAGTCGGCAGTGGCCCTCACCCTGGGATTGCTCCACAATCCCTAAATTTCAGCTCCCAGGTGCTGTGCCTTCCAGGAGGCCAGTGTTCCTATCTGGGGTATGTATGGCTGTGGCAAGGACTGTCTGATTCTCATTCCATTTAGGCTACCACAGACCAGCTTTTTCACTCTCAGCCTTAAATGTTTCTCCTCTGACTCAGACTAATGATCCGCTGTGGGGATCGGACCTCTGCTTTAGTTCCCCCACCCACTGAGGGCAGGTCTGGTCCTACTAACACTCCTGTTTTTCCCCCTAGTTCTTTCCTTCTACCGAGTTTTGCATGGTTCTATATATTCTTTTCCACTGGCCATATACTCCTGTCCATGCTCAGCTGGTGTTCTGCATGCACTTCTGTGTCTGAAGGTGTATTCCTGATGTATCTATGGAGAGAGATGTACTCCACGTCTGCCTACTCCACCATTTTGTTCTCCCTTTGCTTTTTTTAAATTAACTTATTATAAAAGGTCATATAAACATTTCTTACATTGTTCTTTTTTATTGGAAAAAGTGGTTTGGACCATTATGCTTTATTTGGTATCTTTAATTTTGTTATTGTTACACAAAAAGTCCAAACTTTGAACTTCTGAGTTTTAACCTCCTGTTTTCCTGATGAGAGAATACACATTTTATATCCAAAATGTCACTCTGGGTCAACCTGTCCTTGGAGATTTGACTCAAATCTTTTGTCCTACGTGCTGTGAGAGACTCAGTCCTTCCAAATGTCTTAGGGAATTGAGGGGACAGGACACCTCCATGCTCCTGACCCTTCTTGACTTGTTGTGCCTGCTTCAGCTGGTGAGCCCAGCTCATTGCTTCCCCACCTTTATGTGCTGTTCTCTGCACAGGTCACAGCCCAGGTCCTCCTCCTCCACATTCCAAACCTGTGTATAGCAGGCCTTCCCTCAAGTTCAGGGTGATGGAGTTGCTTCATTAAAAGAAGTTAGAATTATAGCATCCTTAAAATTAAATACATAATATCACAGTTCTCTAAAAATCTTTGGTCCTTGGGAACTTCATACCCCACCATTTTCAGCAGGCCGACTGATTTGTAATCTTCTTCTCTTGGTTTTCCATCTTCCCTCTGGTCTTGACTCCATCCTTTCAAGTCATGTTATTTCTTATACTGAAAGTTTAATCATCTTGTTAAGTCCTGCCATTTACTGGGGCATCTCTTCAAGATCTCAACTTACACCTAATATTTCAGCTTGGCATATTCCCAACCAAGACATTTTTTTTTTCCCCCTGTGAGGAATTTTGACACCTGTTGTCAATCTCTCCTGGCACACATTCCTCCTCTCTTCTTTTCAATTACATGAATTTAAACCAGAAGAAGCCATACCATATTTGAACTAAACCTTTTGGTATTCTCATTATTTTAAGTGTCTTGTCTCATTTCATTAAAAAATATTTAAGGTTATTATTTATCTTACATCAAAAGATCTCATGAAAAAATTATGAAAGCCATATATGTTGTCAAATATAATATAAGTGAAAATAAGTAAAAGTGAAAATATCAGATCAGCTTTTACAAAAATTATTTAACATGCATTATTTCAAAAAGTTTTCCTCCACCGTTGCATTAAATTTTATTCCTTTTTTCCCTTCTAGTGTTTCAAAGATGGTCATTCTATTTCTATTATTTCTATTTTTATGGTTGTGTGTGTTAGTCACTCAGTTGTGTCCAACTCTTTGGGACCCCATGAACTGTAGCCTGCCAGGCTTCTCTGTCCACGGAGTTCCCTAGGCAACAAGGCTGGAGTGGGTTGCCATTGGTTAGGGTCAACTTAAGGGAATACATATATATATACCTATATATAAGTTACTTATATATAAACAGTATCTATCAACAGTAGTCTATCAATAAGAATGAAGCCATATAAATTCTTTGGCTAAATGAGAAATTTAACACATTTTCCAGTTCTTAGAAATTGTTGAAATAATCTGAAGTTTTAGTTTCAGATAGTTAATTTTTTTATTGTGTACTTTCAATTTCAAGACAACNTTTTAGAACAATTTTGTCAAGTTTCAACAAGAATTCTCCAGTATTCCTGCCTGGAGAATTCCATGGAGAGAGGAGCCTGACAGGCCACAGTCCATGGGGTCTCAAAGAGTCAGACACGACTGAATGACTCACACACACAGAAATAACATTCACATGTTTAGGACATGACACTAAGTAGTCCTGGATTTATACCTGGAGCAGGTATTCGCACCGGATTTACTTTTCTGTTTTTCTCCCCACCACCTCTAGCTCCCCTATCTGTTTGATTTTGCTCTCCACACAGATTAAAATGCACACATGTGCACACATGCATATGTGCCCACACACTCCCCCGCGCAACCAGAGGGACATGGTAGGGTCAATAAAATGATACAAAGACTAGCCTCCTGAAATCTACATCAGAGCAGTGCAATCAACCACTTAACAAGAATTAGATTGATTTCCTGAGCTAAATCATCATGGTCTCTGCCCTCAGGAGCACACAGTGCTGTGGGGGGCGATCAGATGAGCCAAAAGGGAACATCACTTGGAAGAAAGGTGGGGGGATGTAGAAACGCTGAGTCCAGGTCCCCATTCCACCACTGGTTGCCACATGAACTGCAATAAGTCACTTAATTTCTCAGTCTTATTTCTCATTTCTTCTAATAAAAACAGCTTTAAATTAAAAAAATTTTAATTAAGAGTCACATAGTTTGGCAGCAAGAAAGAAAAGGATAAGAAACAATGAAGAGTTTGCTCTCAAGGTCTATCACCCACTAGGGACGCCAGAAAGCACGCCAGATAATGTGAGAACATCTGTGTGTTGTGTGACAAATAACCCTTCATGGTGCCCCTGTGAGGTCAGAGTTGATCATGGAAGAGGAGAGAGATGTTATTTAACATCAAGTGAGCTCAAAAACACTCCATTTAGTACTTGTTTTGAACTCTGGTCTCAGTTTGAATATAGCAGGTGGGACACAGAATTGGCAAGAGAGAGAAGGAAAGTTCTGGAACAGGTGGGGTGGCGGCCTGGGCAGCTGGCCAGTGTCTGGTAGCCACGCTCACCCCCAAACAGAGCATTCCACTATCAGATCGGACCTGTGCCCGCCTCACACTGTGTCTTCCATCTGTCTCAAAATATTGACAGCCCGAAGAAATGATGTAAAAGAGCAAATAAGAAGTGAGGAAGAGAGAGATTACCCAGGACAAACAAGAACGAGGGAAGTCAGCTGTTCTCCATTCTTACCGGGGACAAAGAGTTCTGTTCTCTGATGGGTCGCAGGACATTATCTTACTGCACTTAGCACTTTCTACCTTGGATTGCGGTTATTTATGTGGGAGGCTTATCTGCTCCGTGCAAACTGCAAGCCCAGAGTTTGCCTCTTTCATCTCTGGAGCCCCTCCATGTGGGTCTGGCACTTAATAGGAATCCAGTGACCATGGGTTAAAAGCACAGAAGGGTTGGAAACCACAGTGGTAGGGATTTAAATCACACAGAGTTGAGGACCGTCTTCTTGAGGGTTGTTGAATCAGGGAATAATTTACTGAGGAATATTATCTCCTTCTCTAGAGGTTTTTTTCTCTCTTTCTTTTTAAATAACACATTCTCATCAATTTGTAATGATTTAAATGTGGCTTTGCGTGTGGCCAGAGGGAGAGAGCACCCGGCACCCAGGGTTCCTTCCAGAGTGCAGAGCTGTGCCTCTGTGATGGGAAACATTAACTTCAGCTTCTCTGCCTTTGAGCCCCTCTCTTCTTTACTTCCTGGTCAACCAGGTTTGACTCCACCTGAGAGTGATGAATTCAGAGTTAGATGTCTGCATCTTGTTCCTTCATGAAAATATCCTCTTACCTAGAGGAGAGATCTGGGTTCGGGCTTATGCGCTGGCACAAGGTCTGGCCCTTATCTGAGGCCCTGGCAGGGCTCTGTCTCTATCTGCTCTGTTGATGGTGCACTTTGGAAGAAATCAGATGACAGGGCAGCTTCCCTCTCTGCACCTGGAAAAAAACTGAGGCTGTTAATGATGTAAGGGTTTCCCTGGTGGCTCACATCTGCTGGCAATTCAGGAGACCAGGTTATGATTCCAGGGTTGGGAAGATCCTCTGAAGAAGGGAATGGCCACCCATTCCATTATTCTTGCCTGGAGAATCCCATGGACAGGGGAAGCTGGTGGGCTACAGTCCATGAGGTCACAAATTGCTGGACACGACTGAGGGACTAAGCAATGATGTGAATGTTTTTGGATATATGATTTTCTGGAAATCTTTCAAATGGGGACTCTAACCTTGGCCTGAAGATTTTTTTTAAAGGTACCTAAAATATCTCTGATCATCACTGGTTTTGTCCCCCAATACCAGCCATTGTATATAGAGGCCAGGAAAAGTTTCTCCCCCTTTCTTGATTCGAGCCTGTGGCACTAAGTAAAAATGAAGGGATTTATTTATTTTTAGCTGCATCAGGCACACAGGCTCTTTATTGCAGTGTAAGGCCTTCTCTCTGCTAACTAGCCTGCAGGTTCTCCCACTGTGGCATGCGGCCTCAGTTGCCTTACACATGTGGGGTCTTAATTGCCCGACCCAGGATTGAATCCCTGTCATCTACTGCACCACCAGGGAAGTCCTGAAAATGATGGGATTTCTGACAAGAGAACCAAATTCTTCCATTTGACAGTGACAGCATGTTTCTCTACTTGAAATCATGTTGTCTCCTAAGTCTAGTTAGTTTTCAAACAATTTTGTAATAAGACAGTCAAGGACCACTGAAAGTTCACCCTTCTAGGTTTTTTCTTTTTTTTATGTATAGTTGATTTGCAATGCTGTGTTAATTTCTGCTGCACAACACAGTGATATATGTATCTTCGTGTGTGCTGTCGCATCGGTCGTGTCCAACTCTTTGTGAACCTATGGACTGTAGCCTGCCAGGGCCCTCTGTTCATGAGATTCTCTAGGCAAGAATACTGGAGTGGGTTGCCGGGCCCTCCTCCGGGGGATCTTCCTGACCCAGGGATCGAACCTGAGTCTCTTGTGTCTCCTGCATTGGCTGGTGGGTTCTTTACCACTAGAGCCATCTGGAAAGCCATATATGTATATTCTTTTTTTTTAAATATTCTTTTCCATTATAGTTTATCACAGGATACTGAATATAGTTCCCTGTGCTATACAGTAAGATCTTGTTGCCTCTTTCTAGTTTTGATTTCTCCTTTCACTTGGGCTCCAGAAATAGCTCATTTGTTTATATTTCTTCGAATTTCCTCTTGAGAAATGATAGTGAAGAGTGGAGAACTCTTGGTGGTTGGATGAGACCAGATTCTTTGGGGAGGAAAAGAGAATAGTGTTGAAACGTTGAGCTGAAGTGTCCTGAACCCTCAGTCTGGGCTCCTGGAAGTTGGAACATAGCTGCATCTTGTCACTCACCCTGAAACTCCGTATCTCCACCTGAGAGAACCAGTGAGCGTGTTGAAAGTGGGTCTGCAAGATGCCATCAGATGCTCAGGGGCAGTCACATTGGGCCATCGAAGGACCGATTACTCCACTACACGTTTTCTGGGAGTTTCAATCATCCAGATTTGTGCTCTCCAGCTCTAGGTGGCTACTGAACACTTGAAAGGGAACTAGTCTGACCTGAGATGCTCAGTGATTGCAAAATACACACCATGATTTTGAAGACTTAGTACAAATAAAGAATGTATAGTAACTCACTGATGTTTTTCATTGTTTACATATTGAAATGGTGGTATCTTAGATATATTGAGTTAAATAAAATACACCATTAAAATAATTTCACCTGTTTTACTTTTCTTAACATGCCTATTAGAGCATTTAAAAATTCATGGGTGGCTTGAATTATATTTCTGTTGGGTGGGGCTGGTCTTGCTGCTGCTGCTAAGTCGTTTCAGTCGTGTCCGACTCTGTACGACCCCATAGACAGCAGCCCACCAGGCTCCCCCGTCCCTGGGATTCTCCAGGCAAGAACACAGGAGTGGGTTGCCATTTCCTTCTCCAGTGCATGAAAGTGAAAAGTGAAAGTGAAGTCGCTCAGTNATGAGTTGTTTTATGACGCAAATGAAAGACAGTCATTGTAAAAAAGAGGAAGAAAGAAGAGAAAAGAAAAAGAAAAAGGAAGGAAAGAAATACCAACGAAGCAGAAAACACAAACCTCGCTGTTGCCACCATTAGCATCTGCATGTGATCCTTTCGAGGAGCAAGTCTCTCAAGAGTCAGAACTCAAACTCGGATTAGGCATCGCAATAAGGAGAATTAGACTTCTCAATGGCAGGATCAAGAGAGTCAATCAATTATTAACTGCCTACCTGTCTGCCCCTTTCTCTCTGATTTTTGTTTGTGTTGTCATCTGTGCTTGCTTCATTCTCTGGCTGACTTTCTGTTTAGTCTGGAAAGAAAGACCCTGGAAGTTCAGAATTATATAATCCTTTGTGCCTGAAATGTCAGTAGAGAGAAGGGGAAGAGAAAGAAGAAGAAGAAGAAGAGGAGGAAATGGGGAGGAGATGGGAGGATAGGAGGAGGGAAAGAAGGGGTTGAGAAGGGAAGGTGGAGAGGGAAACGGGAAGGGATAGGAGGAAGAAAGCAGTGGGTCAATCATTGTATTAAGAAAGAGTAATCCAGCTGGTCTACCCAACAAAATCTACTGACAGAAAATAGGGAAAGAATGGTTTCCCAGAAAGGCAGAAAGAAAGAATCTTTCTGTCTGTCTATTACCCACCCAACTACTTACTAGCCTACCTATATATCTGGCATAATTAACTATTTAGGGGGATGAAGGTGATAGGAAAGTGCCTAAGTACTTTTTTTTTTTTTGAGATTAAGTACTTCATAACAATGCAGGCTCATTTTACTGAAAAGGGCAAGACCAAAGCTAGATTAATAAGAGAGATAGCCTTACCTCAGTGTGACCTTAGACTGTGCTTTTTCCAAGAAAAATATTATCATTCCCCTTGCTGAGGTGTGCTGACCTCTTCTTAGTTGACATTTCTGGTAAGGAAATCTGGTGCGAAGACTGAACGGGATGTAAACACTCCACATTCACTTTTGCCCACAATAGGAAGGTCCATCTCTCCCTCCTCACCCCCATCTCATCAAAGAGACCTTGCTGATGTTTCAGTCAGGGCTGAAGGTGCTGCTTGATTTTGCTGGATGCCAGAAGGACTGAGGAGCAGTCTTCGTCTTTCTGATGGAGGAAGGAGTGTTGGGTTTCTCAAGGGAGGGACAGATGGGCTTGAGGGATGAACTACAGTGAGGGTGGATGGATCTGAAGCAACTGTCTAGAAGGAAGACAGCATTTTCTTTTCAGGGGACACCCTTGTTATGAAGACCGAAGTCTAGCAGCGCCTTCTGTGTGGTTCAAGGGAACAATGGCGTTAGATCGCATTCTAGCCTTTATTCCTCCTACCATTCGCAGTGGTTTCAAGATGGACCCAACTCTTGCAGCAGCTGCATTCTTACCAGGCTAGGCAGGGTCTGGGAAAGGTGAGGGCTGGATCTGCCTTGACTCTCTTTGGGGGAGCGAATGGAGAGCAGATGTCAGTCCTGAGAGGAAAAAGTTTAGAGACCCATGTGGCAGCAATGGCAAAGAAGACTCTCTAGGTATAGGGGACAATGAGAAGGAATTCATTGATCTTGTACCCTTTTCTGCAGAAAGAGTTAGTGAGCTATACCTTTAGACCAAAAAAGGAATAAGTTCTGGCATTTTTGTATGTTTAGTGTACATCACCTGGAAATGTCAGCATCTCCCCTGTGGATACTTGTCCAGCACAGAGCATATCTACTGTCACTGGGGTTGAGTTCATACTTTTATAAAGACTGACCAGTTTCTAACAGAGAGGAGTGATTGTGGCAAATACTAAAACTTGAGTGCCCTGAACATCCGTAGATCTCAGACCCCATGAGGGTTCTCCATGCGCTGTCTGCATGACACTCAAGCCACCTCTCTTAGTCTGCACTAGGATTCTTCTGGCACTTGATAAAATGAAGGCAACACATAGCTTAGACTGCACAAAGGTCAAAAGGACACACATAAATAACGGGTACACATATCAAATAAAGAGCAACCTTTGCCTCTAAAACTGATATACCACCTGTTAATCTGATCATGTAGAACATGGTTGTTAGACTAACATTGGACATGATAAAACTTGATTTACAGAACAATGTACTTTGTAAAATAAATGATTGCAAAACTCTTTGAATACAGAAAGTCTTATATGGACGTTTAATGATCCTGGCAATTATTTTACAACTTAATTGTGGGAAAATGAAAGGAATAGAGTGGCTTAACGAATTCAAAAATTTATCGGACTGAGTGTTATAAGGGAGATAAAAAAAGGAGAGTTTATAGTTTAATGTCACATTCTGTGAAACCTACAATCAGACATCTCAGCATTTTAAAAACTGGACAGAGTGTCCTTAGATGAAAAGATTTTGATGATGTAATTATCTTTAAGTGAATTATATTTTACATTCTATGAGAATAACCTTTTAAAGAAACCACAAATGTTTCTGTAAACACTGGCATGGCATAATGGTGGGAGAGCTGATGAGATATTACATGGATAAAACTTGTGACTTTTTCCATGTGAGTAGAATCTTAAAACCTGGCCCTACACTCAGCCTTGAGCACAGCTGAAATTGGGTGGGTTTCCTTTTATTTTTAAAAAGAAACCTATATATTCCAATAATAAGATATTAACTTAGGTTTTGGAGTGGATTTATGAAAGGCTATAATGCACACAGTACATTTTGCTAAGGATTACAAGACACTGAACATTTGTACCATCCATAGAATTTTCCTGATGGTCCTGAGAGCTGCGTTGTATAAGTTGAATGCAAATGGATGTTGGAGTTTTATTGTATTTGGCATCCAAGTGAAAAAAAATAGCTAACCATGCCTGTTCACAAGAAGTGCTCTTGGCCTTGGGGTTTTTATGCCATTGGTCCTTGGCTATAATAGTTCATATATAATAAACAGAGA